CTTAGTTGGTGGAGCAATTCACAATTTACGCGAGTTCGTATCCAACGCCAACTCAAGAATACGAATATTTCGACATTGGTGTGTTGCACAGTATCGCACCAAATTGAAGGCGTTTTATGTTGGTCCAACCGTGACCTGCGGAGACGAGGAGTCTTGATGTGTTGACTTTGAGTGCTGCGTATGGCTCATGAGTACTTTTCACTCATATTGGTGTTAGGCAGAGCTGATGACTTTCCGCGTTGAAATGAGGTAGTATGAAGCTACGGAAAAGGATCGATAGACTTGACAGAGTTTTCGCAACGAACACCTTGATAATCGATTCATTACCACAGCTTTAAATGGGGGAAGAATCGATCATCGATCATTAGCGCCACGCCACTGGTTCTATGGGTTTCCTCGTGAAATATTCTTCAAAACACACCCTTTTCAGTTTAAAATGTGGCGAAATAAACAAACGTTTGTGGTTTTAGTCGAGTTAGCTGTTAGTTTAGTTTTAGACAAAGGATAGCACTTACAGCTGTCTTGCCTACAACTTGTCTTACGTGAACATGAAAAATGCCTTTTGAAAATGGTTGAAAATGAAATTCGTCGGTTTTTAATCATCCAAACGATTTGAGAGTGCCCTTCGGGTGATCGGTGGAAATTAGACAAAGATCGAAGGCTCAACGAACTTTCCTGCACAGACGCTTCTGAGCGCATTATCTCAAAACCTCATTTTTGCTACGGCTCACAGTAATTGGTTGTCACACATTGGTTTTTTCGTAAAATTTTCTTCTACTGGCACCCCTGAAAGTTTAAATTGTGACGAAATAAACATCAACATTTGCGGTTTTAGTCGGAAATTTCATGTGCGACCTCTTTTATTGACTCAATCCACGGTGCGGCTCTCTTCGCTATCACGACATCGTAGACGAGACGGGGTATGAATTTCCAAGGAAAAAATTCACTTTAGGTTGGGAGAGCGCAGTATCGAGGCGCTTTAAAGTTATGAAAAAGGCTGCTGCAGGACGTTTCCGCACACTTTTTTTGGAAATTGCTAAAATAAATGAATATTTGGCAACATTGTATACTTGCCTCACTGCCGTCCGATAAATTAACCAGATTTACTTTGCCTGGAGCCTTTGTATGTGCGAAATGGGAGATTATCGTATTTTTGGAAGCTATCTGAGAAGTGTGGATCTCGGATAAAGGTGATAACGATGATGGGAAACCAGAAGAAGATTTTGATGTCGGCGATTCCGATGAAGAATGATTTTTTTAGGGAGATTTCTTTAGAATTACCTAAGCTGTTGCGGGGCCCTTCGAACCCTGAGTAATACTAGCTTCTTTGGGTGGGCAGGGAGGAGCTTTAATAAGGAAAGGGGGGGTAATCAGTCCCAAAATTTTACTTTTTTCCTAAATAGCAGAGTTGATTACTATGAAACTATTTGTCGACCAAACCCATATATTTGGTAGAGCCCCTCTAGTCCTTCACATACGCTTTACCTACGGAGGGAAAGCGAATGCGGTGTTGTGAAGTAGTAATTTTGTTTGGACGATTTTCGCAAAAGTGTGCGGAAACGTCCACCTCCCATGCAAAAAATAGTCATTTTGCACAGGACTTCGAAACCATCCGGGCTATGCGTTTTATCTCCTTATCAATCTCATCATCCTGGAGACTGATTTTTGAAATTTATACAGACAAAGAGACATCTAAACAGGCAAAAGAGAAAAACCGAAAATAAAGTAACTAGTGCTGTTGATTTTTTCTTCGATTTTCTGAAGATATCGATTTTTTGCACGGAATAGTCGATTAAATTAAATCGATTTTCAGCACGCGATTTTGCAGCTAATCGCCTTTGTACTCACAAATTGAAAGTTTTCGATTTTTTACAGGAAAAAATGTTACTCCTGAGTAATGAAGGAAGCAACAAGCCTTAATTATTCTTCAAAACTGGGAGCAGTCATCAAAGTTGCCCAATTTAAGGGGCAATGGAACTCGACGCTCAGTAAGGCGAGCATTGAATGAAAACGAACGGCACAATACTCATTCTAAAAATCGATTTTTTATTCGGAGCCATTTTCTTGAAAACTGATTTTTTGGCCTTAATTTTTCTGCAAATAATCGATTTTTTTTAACACAATCGACGCTATCGATTAGGGAAAAATCAACAATAATACTAAAAGCAATCCTTTTGGCGGAAGCTGGTGGTTACGATGGAAAAAAGAGGCACTACGAGTAAAAAGGCACTAACGGCAACCAGTAGTGGCGTGGCGTACTTTGCGATATATCCATTGATCTGCCACTTTAACCTATGGAGAAAGCTCGCCAAACAGGGTGTTCGCAAAGATAACTTCAAAAATCAATTCTTTACCATAGCTTCAAATGGGGAAAAATCGAAAATTGATCCTTCGCTCGAAGACGATGGAGGCTCCCGCTCCCTCTCGACTAGGATGAATGAGCGTAAAATCTAAATTACTGTATTGCCGGAGACCAGTCATAAATTTAAATGGACTTTTTTATCTACAACTTTATTTTATTAGAGATACAAAATTGACACACATTCGCACAGAAACATGTGGAAATACAGAAACGACGGGAAAATAATAGGTTTTCACCAGAGATCTAGCGAATAATGGGCATATTCATATCATTCTTTTCGCATTAGAAACAAAATATCAGTTACAAAGCTACGTCTTAAACGACCCAGAAAATTGCGTCATTTATTCAAAAGACGGAGTCTAAAAATTGGCAGAAAAAAGATCCAGAAAATTTTGACAATTTTTGACGAAACTGACCCTCACTTTATCTATAAGATTTAGGCCCTTTCGGGAATTGGATCGCATTTAGCAAAAAGGAACCAGCGCGATTAAGGTGTTTTCGAAGCCGAGCAACTTTTCTTTTTCTTTCATAAACACTTAATACAAAATTCAGTATTAAAATTTACGCAATTAATTTCCTTTAAAATAAGCAATTTTTTGGCGAGAAGCCAACACTTTTTGATTTTCTGGGAGATTTTTTAGATAAATATGAAGCAGCAACATTTCTAAAACACTGTAATCGCGCTGGTTCCTTTTCGCTACATGCGATCCAATTCACCCCCTTTGGCTGAGCAGTAAATAGGATTGGAAGCTTCTGGTGATTCTAAGGGAGTTCTCTCAAATGAGTCAGTCGCGCTGGTCACAGAATCGTGTTTTCACGCTTGATTTTTGCAGATAGCTGAAAATAATAATATCTGCCCAAACAGCAACTTTCTACGTTTAAGATTAACAGAGATATCGCCCATTGAAAAGTCGGGTTTCTAGCGCCATCCACCCCGGTAGTGGCACCCTTGGTTTCTCCCACCTTGCTTTCATCCTAGTTTCATGTTGAGTATAACTAGAGTACCTGTATAGCGAGTGTATAGACGGATGTGAAACTCCGAATCCATCAGGCCTTCACCGATGCCTCCGCGAATAAAGTTAAGGCCCAGAAATGCAGCCAACCTATGAATTTCAATTATCCAGAGCGATTTATTAATAAAATTGCTACGAGCCATCGTTTATAAAGCACGTATTTGACTTTGTTTTTGCATAAATTTACTTATTTTTGTGGAAGAACGCTCATTTATGTACTTTCTTAGCCATCTTCGTTAGAATTGGAGTCTACAGACTGGCAGTGAAATTTTGTGCGTTAGAAGTTGGTTAGAAGGGTGGCTGCACTTCTGGGCCCTAAGCCCTCCATGAAGCGATCTGTCCAAATACTCTCGCTATACAGGTACTCTAGGTATAACCAGTGCAAATTTGTCTCCCTGACCGATGAAAGCAAGACGGGGGAAACCGAGGGTGTCACTACCACGGTGGATGACGCCAATAATTTGGATTTTCAAAGGGCGATATCTCGATTGATACTGAACGTAGAAAGTTGCTGTTTTGACCGATCGTAATATTTTTAGCTGATCGATCTGCTAGAATAAAGCATCAAAACACAATGCTGAGACCAACACAACTGACCCATTGGGCTATTTAGAGCAAAATGAATTATGTTAGATCTCATATAAGACCTGAAATCGACAAGAATACATGCATGGTAGGGCTCATTTCACGAAGGCTATCAGTGGCGAGGCGTGAATGATCGATTACCGGTATCTCCCCGTTTTAAACTGTGGTAAAGAATCCGTCATTAAGGTGTTCCTTGCGAACACCCTGTTTATCGATCCTTTTCCAAGGGTTTAAGTGGCAGATCAATCGATATATCGCTAGACACGTCACGCCACTGGATGTAATTTCTTTTGATTACGCCATTCTTCCTTAGCTCGGCAGCACATTTGGACTAAATATTGAAATTACGATGCAGAAATCTCATCCTCATTACAAAAGCAGTTAAACAGGAATAATACGAGTTTCGGACTTTCTGTAATATTCCGGTGCTTAAGAACGAAGATTTAAGTTGAAAAAATAACGGGGGATGTCACAGCGCCCATAAATATTCGAAAATTCAAATGGAAATATCTGCAATATATTCTCTTACAAAATATGATGAAGAGAAAGTCACTTCGGAAAAAAGCAAAACTAGAAACAAGCTTTCATAATCAATATGTCTTGGTTCTCTAGCCACGAGAGGAATTAGAGCACTGCGCGACGTGTTTCCTCTATAAAATTTTACGAGCAAATCGAAGTCATGAGACGGATGGGGAGTGTGGAAATGAACTCCGAAACTAATTAAGATTAACATTGCTTGAATGACACAAATACAAATGACGTCATCTGTATAGTCTCAACTTGAAATTGTCAATGATCAGAGTATCGTTTTTCTCCGGTGTGCGATCGAATATGTACCCTTGCAGAAACTATTTATGAGAACCAAGCTGAGAGAAGCCTACAATTAAAAGGTCCCACACCGGCGTGTGTCGTATGCGTTGATTTAAACGGCTTTTTCTGGACAAAAAGGCAGAGCACTGAGTGAAAATGCATGGTTTATCGGAGTATGCTCCTTCAAATGCCTTTTCTGCCGAAAAGAGGATGAGCAGTGACTGCATCACTACAGTTTTCCGTCAGTATGCATTCGCAAATGTCTCTTTAAAGTGACATCCTCGGGGAAGGACATCGAACAATGACTACAACTGAAGGGTTTCTCACTAGGGTGCGTCCGCATGTGTCTCTTTACATTGTTTTAATGCCTGAAAGAGGAGGAGCAATTACTGCAACTGAATAGTTTCTCACCAGTATGCGTGGAAACATGTGCCGTTAGAGACTGATTGCGAGCAGAGCATGCCGTGCAATAACTGCAACTGAATGGTTTCTCTCCAGTATGCGTCCGGATGTGTTTTGTCAAATTACTTCTCTCAGCAAAAGAGGCCGAGCAATGACTGCAACTGAATGATTTCTCACCAGTATGCGTGCGAACATGTGCCGTTAACGAATTTTTTTGAGCAGAGCATACCGTGCAATGACTGCAACTGAATGGTTTCTCGCCAGTGTGCGCTCGCATGTGTTTCTTTAGCTTGTCTTTACTTGTGAAAGAGGAGGAGCAATGACTACAATTGAATGGTTTCTCGCCAGTATGCGTTCGGATGTGTCTTGTCAAGTTATTTTTCACAGCAAAAGAGGCCGAGCAATGACTGCAACTGAATGGTTTCTTGCCAGTATGAGTTCGGATGTGTGATGTCAAATTACTTTTCTCAGCAAAAGAGGCCGTGCAATGACTGCAACTGTATGGTTTCTCACCAGTATGCGTGCGAACATGTGCCGTTAAAGAATGTTTTTGAGCAAAGCATGCCGTGCAATGACTGCAACTGAATGGTTTCTCGCCAGTGTGCGCTCGCATGTGTTTCTTTAGCATGTCTTTACTAGTGAAAGAGGAGGAGCACTGACTACAATTGAATGGTTTCTCGCCAGTATGCGTTCGGATGTGTCTTGTCAAGTTACTTTTCACAGCAAAAGAGGCCGAGCAATGACTGCAACTGAATGGTTTCTTGCCAGTGTGCGTTCGCATATGTACCTTGAGATTTTGTTTCGTAATGAAAGAGGAGGAGCAATGGCTGCAACTGAATGGTTTCTCACCAGTATGCGTTCGAACATGTTTCGTTAAAGCATCTTTTTGAGTAAAGGATGCCGTGCAATGACTGCAACTGAATGGTTTCTCGCCGGTATGAGTTCGGATGTGTGTTGTCAAGTTATATTTCATAGCAAAAGAGGCCGAGCAATGACTGCAATTGAATGGTTTCTCTCCAGTATGCGTCCGGATGTGTTTTGTCAAATTACTTTTCTCAGCAAAAGAGGCCGAGCAATGACTGCAACTGAATGATTTCTCGCCAGTGTGAGTCCGCAAGTGTCTCTCTAAACTGTTTTTTCTACCGAAAGAGGAGGAGCAGCGGCTGCAACTGAATGGTTTCTCACCAGTATGCGTTCGAACATGTTCCGTTAAAGAATGTTCGTGAGCAAAGCATGCCGTGCAATGACTGCAACTGAATGGTTTCTCGCCAGTGTGCGTTCGCATATGTACCTTGAGATTGTGTTTCATACTGAAAGAGGAGGAGCAATGACTGCAACTGAATGATATCCCCTCAGTATGCGTGCGAACATGTTCCGTTAAAGAATGTTCGTGAGCAAAGCATGCCGTGCAATGACTGCAACTGAATGGTTTCTCGCCAGTGTGCATTCGCATATGTACCTTGAGATTGTGTTTCATACTGAAAGAGGAGGAGCAATGACTGCAACTGAATAGTTTCTCGCCACTTTTTATTTGAATATGTCGCGCCATTGAGGTTTTCGTAGTAAAAGATGTAGCGCAAACATTGCATATTGATTGTTTGGCATTCATTTTTTTCGAATCTCTCATGGATACTGTACTCATATTTACATGTATGTGTCGAGCGTTCCTTTTTTCACCGTTTGCAAGGGTTCTCGTTCTCTTGCCTACGTTCTCTTCGGCCTGTCCGAGATAGGTAGTGCCGATGCTCTCTCTTTTCAGTGACGTTATCTTCGGGACGAAAGCACGAAAATCAACCTCCGAATCGAGCTCTCCGTCCTTATTATACAACCTAACTTCAGACTTACCCATTTGGAGAGGTGGCTCACTCTCAATTTCGATTTCCGTATGTAACTGGTCAGCCAAACTTTCATCACATTCGTCGGGATGGGGAGTCTCAATGTTTTCTATCTTTACTCGCTCTGCCATCGAGACACTATCTCTATAATTTAAGTCCAAATCGAGTTCTCTTTTTGCTTTTCCCAACTTGGATTCCGCTTCGTTTGTTTGGGCAGGGGGTTCACTCTTAATTTCAATATTCGTGAGTGATACGTCAAGCAAATTTTCATTACATTCGTCGGGAAGTGGAGTGCTCATGTTCTCTCTCTTCACTCGCTCTGTTATTAGGAGAAAATCACGAATATCATTCTCCAAATCGTGTTCTGCTCCTCCTCGTCCCAACCTGAGTTCTGACCCATCCGTCTGGGGAGTGGGTTCACTCTTAATGTCAATACTTGTACGTAGCTGGTTAGTCCAACTTGCATCAACTTTTTCATCCTCGCATTCGATTTTGGGGGGAAGAGCGGAGGGACAATCGAAGATGGACGAGAGGAAGGTTTCTTGGGTCTCTTCTACTGATGCGAGTCGGGGATTGTCGGAATCTTCAAGGTTACTTTCTACGGAGTGGGAAGATGGGTTGCCAGACATACCGCTAGACTCCGAGCTGGTGCTTGCTTCAGGCACGGCCTGCATTGAAGGGCTCGTGCAATAAATCCTCGACACGTCTCCCTGGGGATCCTTCACACTTTTATCGATTGGTGGATTCACTGGATTGTAGTCTTCAGGTGTGCTGATTGCTGAGTGCTCTTTCCGTTAGATTTTTAGCTTCGGCGTTCTCCATCCAAAATCCTGAACAGAATAAATTTCAAGATTTGTAAGCAACGCTTTGGACGACCGATTATAGTAGTAGGTATTCGATAGAGGGATTGAAAGACGGAGAGATATTTGTTGCGATAAATCGATTGATCTGTCATGTAAACCTATGGACGAGGATCTATGTACACTGCACAGGGTGTTCGCAACGAAAACCTTAATCATAGATTCTTTAACATAGCTTCAGATGGGAAAATATCGATAATCGATCATTCACGCCACGCCACTGGATACGGGTACCCGCGGGATCGAAGTATGCGATGCTTCGAATGACATAGGTAGTTAAGACAGGAAACATCATAATCCGAGAAGACAAGAACCCCGAAATTCAGCGGCGCCGACGTGGCGTGCTTTGCGATATTTATAATTTCATCTTCAATGCCACCGATCCACGATTTTGCTGGATGTCCCTTACGTCTTCTTTTCGGAGGGACCCATTCTAGACCCTTCTTAGGCAATCTGTCATCCGCCATTCGTTGAGCATGGCCACACCGGACAGGCTGTTCAGTTATAATATCATGCACGATGTTCTGATCGGCGCTCAAGATCTGCATAGATTACATAGAGCCGTAATGTAAATAGGAGAGCTGGCGCCATGTTCTGCTCGACGAGTTCCGAGTCCGGTGCGCGCCGAGTTCGGATCACTTTTTCGCTAATCTTTAAAAAATTCGATCGGATGAGCCTTCGATATATGCTAAGACTTCAAACTCTAAGCCCGGACCTCTGAGGCATGTATCGGACTGATCCTGATTTCTGGACCTATCTTCTTTTACCAATCCCACGGATATGATTCTTGTTTCTGTGATTATCGAGAGTGACGGTATGTGGCTACCCCCACTCGAGGAAAATGGCGTTCCCTTGATCTGAACATTGATTCGGTTTGAACTCGACTGCAGCCCAAACGACTGCACGGATTCATACGAAAATTTAAATTTCACGACGATCTAATAGCAGCCGAGGTAGATTCAAGGCCACGTTCGTCATTTCGTTAGGGCAGGGACGGGTTCTATAGGACGCCGTTCTGTTGTGAGCGGGTGATTGCAGCGCATTCTCGCGTAGGACCCTAGTCAACTCAGAGGATCCTTCCCCCCGAACCTCGACTCATCCATCGCCCGCTCCAAAAGTGAGGTTAAGCCGAAGATTGAAAAATAACACATAAGGCGGCTGAATTCTTGAAAAATAAGTATATTTTTGGCGTTTTTCGACCCCTTTCGACAAGGAAGGGCCCGACACACACAAACGTAGAGTGAAAAATTCGATTTTTGGCAGTTATACGCGATCCTACGGATTTTAATGAAGTCCAACAACTGATAACAGCAGTGAGTTGCGAGGGTCCTACGCGAGATAGCAGCACTAGTACCTGCTCACGAATTTTTACATTGGCTCTTACGGGAGTCCAGGGTCCTATAGAACTGGTCCCTGGTTAGGTTACGAAACCTAAGGCGCGTCTTTCCACGGCGTCTGGACGCCGCACAGAGCGGCACTCCCATAAGCGGCGTGGACAAAAATCAAGGGCACCGTCAAAATGGACGTATGGAACCATAAACGGCATGAAATTATCAATTTAGCCTCCTTAGACCTTTGATAACGGGTTTTGACTTTTCCAGCATCTGAGAGCTCAATAGGTCAAACGTGGCTATACACTGTATATACGTAATGGACCACTCGACAAGGTACGAATTTAAGCAATCTGATACATGTTCCTTAACCAGAATTTCACGTAAAACACGATTCGCGCAACGAAAATTACTGAAACTAACTCCTAACGAGGATATTATCGTTTTTATTTCACATTGGTTACGAGGAATTTGAACTGCCCGCCTCAAGAAACTCAAAGCTCTACGTGAGTCAAATCGCTCACTACAACGGTTTCAGAAAGTTTCTCAATCGAGCAATGTTCATTTTCCACCATGTGTTGTTCAAACTAAAAACAACTTGCTATACCTAACTGAGCCAAAGCGTCAAGATTGAGGTTGCCAGATTTTTATACAGCAGAGACTGTCATAATAACATTCAGCGCGCGATGTGAATCACGTAGAGAATTGAGTTTTCATGAGCGGGTGGTTTGAATTCACGTATCAAGAATCGTTAAATATCTTTGGAAGGAGTTGAATTCGGTAATTTTCGTTGTGCGCGTCGTATTCTACGTGAAATTTTGGTTACGAATCATGTATCAGAATGCTGAAATTCGTACCTTGTCTAGTGGTCCATTAGGAGTAATAGAGCTCAATATTGCGACTGAATATGCTAAGTTTCATCTTATTTGAACCAATTTTTAAAATTAATTATTTTCGATAACAGTCAATACTAACAATTTTTAACAATATTTGGAGAATTTGGAAGACCATTTTCAATTTTTGTCCATGGTATTCCTCATTCCACATCCTCATTGCGGATAAAAATCATTGCTATGATATAAGAAGTTTTTGACCAACAAGGAAATTTGACCATTTTTTTCCTAAAACGAAATTCGGACACCTGACATCTGCACATCCCAGAAAGCTGCAATACAATTTCAAAATTACCCTAGAAAATTTCATTTTCTTGTCTTATTTTAGCTTTTTAGTGGGGAGAGTTGCAAAATCCCAGCAACGTTGCAATGCCTCCAATTATTTTTTATAAATGAAAGCCAAAGAAGATTGGAAACATTCTTACTGAAAACTTGAAAAGTAAATGACACCACCCCCCACCCTGCCCCAGTAAAAGAGAAAAAAAATCATTGATAACTAATTTACCATAAAATAAAATCGTAAGTACATCAAATGAATTGTAAAAATAGATTGATGATACACAATAAAACTTGTCTAATCAAAAATATATAAATAAAAAATAAAACAATTTTCATGCGATCACATGAAAACCTCCCTTTCAAACTTGAAAAGATGCATTTATACAGACATATTTTCTCAAATAACTTTTCAAAAATCTTGACTTCAGTTTTTGCAATCCAAGAGACTTGGGCAGAAAAAATCCTATTGCGATGACAAGTGAAAGGCTCCGTGCTTGAAGGTTGATGGCAGAATTTTGCATAGTTCCTACTTGAAAATTCTCAGTTTGGACATTTTAGTACCTACTATTTTAGGTACCTGATGAGCAAGAAGATCTCAATTTGTTGATTTTTTATTTTGAAAAATTCAGGTTGTTAGGAAAGTACTCGATTAACCACAGTTCGCTTTTCACAAGGATGATTTCACATGAGAAATTGTGCCATCGTAAAATATTATACTACTTAAAACACTCACTTATGAGTTCAACGTTGCGTTATCAAGTCCCCAAACGGGCAAAGTTCAAAAAGCGAAATTTAAGGTGATTCAATTCAACCATTTAAATTTCTTTTTTTTTTTGCACAAAATTTGGGGACTTGCAAACGTTGCGATCAACAACGTTGCCAAACAATCTTTTTCAATTTTTAACAACTTTTTATGATTTTAACACCTCTTTTTAAGATGTTTATGAACCATCAAATTTTAGCAATTTTAAAAGGCTCTACCTTTGAAAAAATTGGCTACGGTCCGTCTTTCAATGAATTTATTTCCACAAACGATTTATTTTTGTGAGAAATGTACATAATAAAAATAATATTTATTTCTACATAAAGCCAGAAGGCTATGATACAGTGTCAATGGAACTATTAATGGTTTATGTACATATACATACATACAGATTACGAAAACTTAAACTGGGTTACTACGGAATTCTTTAAAGGAATAAAAAGGTCTTTTCTGGAGAGAGCTTTTTAATTTCTTAGATCTGCGCCTCTCTCTGTTTTGAAAGCTCCTGAGTGCTCGCGTGTGTAACTTGAAGATTTGTTTACTACTGAAAGAGGAGGAGCAATGACTACAACTGAATGATTTCTCACCAGTATGCGTCCGGATGTGAATTATCAAAATACTTTTCTCACCAAACGAGGCCGTGCAATAACTGCAACTATATGGTTTCTCATGAGCATGCGTTCTAACATGTGCCGTTAAAGAAGATTGGTGAGCAAAGTATGCCGTGCAATGACTCCAACTGAATGGTTTCTCTTTAGTATGCGTGCAAACATGGGCCGTTAGAGAATTTTTGCAAGCACAGCATGCCGTGCAATGACTGCAACTGAACGGTTTTTAACCAGTATGCGTCCGAACGTGTTCCGTTAAAGACTGTTTCTGAGCAAAGCATGCCCTGCAATGACTGCAACTAAATGGTTTCTCGCCAAAGTGCGTCCGCATGTGTCTCTTCAAGTTGGCTTCTTCACTGTATTGGGAGGAACAAAGACTGCAACTGAATGGTTTCTCACCAATATGCGTGCGAACATGTGCCGTTAAAGAACTTTTGCGAGCAAAGCATGCTGCGCAATGACTGCAACTGAATGGTTTCTCAACAGTATGCGTTCGCATGTGTACCTTGAATTTGTTTTTACTACTGAAAGAGGAGTAGCAATGACTGCAACTGAATGGTTTCTCGCCAGTGTGCGTTCGCATGTGTGTTGTCAAATGCCTTTTCTTAACAAATGAGGTCGAGCAATGACTGCAACTGAATGGTTTCTCACCAGTATGCGTGCGAACATGTTCCGTCAAGGACTGTTTCTGAGAAAGCTTGCCGTGCAATGACTGCAACTGAATGATTTCTCACCAGTGTGCGTGCGAACATGTGCCGTTAACCACCGTTTCTGAGCAGAGCAAGCCGTGCAATGACTGCAACTGAACGGTTTCTAACCAGTATGCGTCCGAACATGTTCCGTTAAAGTCTGTTTCTGAGCAAAGCATGCCGTGCAATGACTGCAACTGAATGGTTTCTCGCCATAGTGCGTCCGCATGTGTCTCTTCAAGTTACCTTCTTCACTGAATTGGGAGGAACAATGACTGCAACTGAATGGTTTCTCACCAGTATGCGTGCGAACATGTGCCGTTAAAGAACTTTTGAGAGCAAAGCATGCTGCGCAATGACTGCAACTGAATGGTTTCTCAACAGTATGCGTTCGCATGTGTGTTGTCAAATGACTTTTCTTAACAAATGAGGTCGAGCAATGACCGCAACTGAATGGTTTCTCACCAGTATGCGTCCGGATGTGAATTCTCAAATTACTTTTCTCAGCAAACGAGGCCGTGCAATAACTGCAACTATGTGGTTTCTCACCAGTATGCGTGCGAACATGTGCCGTTAGAGAATTTTTGCGAGCAAAGCATGCCGCGCAATGACTACAACTGAATGGTTTCTCACCAGTATGCGTGCGAACATGTTCCGTCAAGGACTGTTTCTGAGAAAAGCTTGCCGTGCAATAACTGCAACTGAATGGTTTCTCACCAGTGTGCGTGCGAACATGTGCCGTTAGAGAATTTTTGCGAGCAAAGCATGCCGCGCAATGCCTGCAACTGAATGGTTTCTCACCAGTATGCGTGCGAACATGTTCCGTCAAGGACTGTTTCTGAGAAAAGCTTGCCGTGCAATGACTGCAACTGAATGGTTTCTCACCAGTGTGCGTGCGGACATGTGCCGTTAGAGAATTTTTGAGAGCAAAGCTTGCCGTGCAATAACTGCAACTATATGGTTTCTCACCAGTATGCGTTCGAACATGTGCCGTTAAAGAAGATTCGTGAGCAAAGTATGCTGTGCAATGACTGCAACTGAATGGTTTCTCCCCAGTATGCGTTCGAATATGTGCCGTTAAAGAATTTTTGCGAGAAAAGCATGCTGCGCAATGACTGCAACTGAATAGTTTCTCACCAGTGTGCGTTCGCATGTGTACCTTGAAATTGTTTTTAGTACTGAAAGAGGAGGAGCAATGACTGCAACTGAATGGTTTCTCGCCAGTGTGCGTTCGCATGTGTACCTTGAAATTTTGTTTACTGTTGAACGAGGAGGAGCAATGACTGCAACTGAATTGTTTCTCACCAGTATGCGTGCTAACATGATCTATTAAAGACTGTTTGCGAGCAAAGCATGACGTGCAATGACTGCAACTGAATGGTTTCTCACCAGTATGCGTGCGAACATGTGCCGTTAGAGAATTTTTGCGCGCAAAGCATGCCGCGCAATGACTGCAACTGAATGGTTTCTCACCAGTATGCGTGCGAACATGTTCCGTCAAAGACTGTTTCTGAGAAAAGCTTGCCGTGCAATGACTGCAATTGAATGGTTTCTCACCAGTGTGCGTGCGAACATGTGCCGTTAAACACCGTTTCTGAGCAAAGCATGCCGTGCAGTGACTGCAACTGAATGGTTTCTCTCCAGTATGCGTCCGGATGTGAATTATCAAATTAATTTTCTGAGAATAGCATGCCGTGCAATAACTGCAACTATATGGTTTCTCGCCAGTGTGCGTTCGCATGTGTCTCTTCAAATTGGCTTTTGTACGGAATTGGGAGGAGCAATGACTGCAACTGAATGGCTCCTCGCCAGTGTGCGTTCGCATGTGCGTTGTCAAATGACTTTTCTTACCAAATGAGGCCGAGCAATGATTGCAACTGAATGTTTTCTCACGAGCGTGCGTTCTAATATGTTCGATTAACTTTGATTCCGATTCGATTGTTTGGGTAGGGGGTTCCCTCTTAATTTCGATGTTCGTGAGTGATAGGTCAAGCAAATTTTCATTACATTCGTCGGGAAGTGGAGTGCTCATGTTCTCTCTCTTCACTCGCGCTGTTATTAGGAGAAAATCACGAATATCATTCTCCAAATCGTGTTCTGCTCCTCCTCGTCCCAACCTGAGTTCTGACTCATCCGTCTGGGGAGTGGGTTCACTCTTAATGTCAATACTTGTGTGTAGCTGGTTGGTCCAACTTGCATCAACTTTTTCATCCTCGCATTCAATTTTGGGGGGAAGAGCGGAGGGACGATCGAAGATGGACGAGAGGAAGGTTTCTTGGATCTCTCCTGCGGATGCAAGTCTGGTATTGTTGGGACCTTGAAGGTGACTTTCTACGGAGTGGGAAGATGGGTTGTCAGACATACCGCTAGACTCCGAGCTGGTGCTTGCTTCAGGCACGGCCTGCATTGAAAGGCTCGTGCAATAAATCCTGGACACGTCTCCCTGGGGATCCTTCACCTTTTTATCGATTGGTGGATTCACTGGATTGCAGTCTTCAAATGTGCTGAGTGCTGAGTGTTCTTCCCGTTAGATTTTTAGCTTCGGCGTTCTCCATTCAAAATCCTGAACAGAATAAATTTCAAGATCTGTAAGCAACGCTTTGGACGACCGATTATAGTAGTAGGTATTCGATACAGGGATTGAAAGACGGAGAGAGACTTTTTGCGATATATCGATGGATCTACCACTTGAGCCAATGGACAACTGATAATATAGATAAACAGATTTTAGCTTCGGCATTCTCCATTCAAAATCCTGAACAGAATAAATTTCAAGATTTGTAACAAGGTGGAGAAATAATGCTGGGTCCACACCATTTCGCGGGAAAATTAAAGCCAAGAAGTTCCAAAAATTATAATTATAGTCAAAATTAAATCTTTTTTACTCTAATGAGTACCAGTTCAAAACTGAGGTGGAGGAAGGGGGGGGGGGGTTCAGCTCAGGCAGTTTGCATTGGAATATTAAGTTAGAGTCACGGTGAGAGATCTATACCGGTTTGGGTCTTTTTAGACCTCATCAGCAGATCACACTCGTCAGTGAACCCACCTTAACATGCCGCAAAATCCAAGACGGCATTAAAACGCCGTCATGATCCGAGGCATGACTTAAAAGTGTGATCCTCTCGCCATCTACCGTCGCTGCTGAACAACTCTCAATACATAACAAGGGAGTCCCGAAAAAATTAATATCTCACGGAAAAAGAATTCTCGGCGTTTTTATCAAGGTCCGTTGGTACCTTTACCATCTCACTTTTTTCACCAATTATTGGTAATTTTACCATGACAGACTGGTAAGCTTACCTAAAAACCGGTATTTTTACTGTTATTTTCCGGGTAAGAATACCACTTTTATTGGTAATCAATTCCCGGTAACTTTGCCATTTTATCTCGGTAATTCTACCACAGCCGATAAAAAATATTGGCGTTTTTACCAAGGTCCAGTAAAATTACCGAGAAAGTTCAATAATTTTACCGAGAGTTCTCGGTAAAATTACCCATTCCATGAATGGTAATTTTACCAAGAAAAAACTGGGATCAAATAGAACCCTGCATTCTTGGTAATTTTACCCTTTTCTTGGTAAATACACCGAGATTTTTTTTTCAGTGCTGGCTGGTTGGAGATGCGAACGCTTCCAGACTCATTGTCAACCGCCTGCTCCCGATCCCGAACGGGAAAACACACATCTCCAGATTGTGCGTACAAATGACGAAAAAACAAGAAAAAAAATCCGACATGAATATGTTGGAAAAGCGTGCCGAATAGCTGAAATGTTGGAAACATACCTACTATTTTCACGTCTTTGCTATTTGTATCAATGGGTACTTTCCGCTAAATTTGCGAGAAAATATTGATTCATGAACGTTGAATGTAAATCAATTTTATGGATTCCGTCCAATTATCTTGATTTTAAGCTGATATGCGGCATTTACGCACGACCGCGATTCGGGCGAACTGCCGTGCATCGAAATTGCGTCAAGTTAATCTCTTTGGATTTCGAACTGGAACTTCTCTCCTATTCGGCCGATTTTTACAACTGAGGTCTCTTTTTATTTGTATCCGGACGGAGATTAAGGGGACACTCGCTAAATAGAGGGAAAACAATTTTTGTGAAAATTTGGTGGATCCTGGCGTCACGGCGAATGGCTAATCGGGCGTGAACGATAATGTTCGACGGCGGCGAGGCGACCCTCACCTCGCCGGAATATTTGGACGGCCCTTTGAATAGCATTGGTTGATCTGTTTGCTGTACTACGGTACATCCGAGTGATTTCAAAAAGCTTAAAACACCAAGAAGTGGCCCGAATACTGTATGTAACAAGGTGCAGAAATGATGCTGGGAGTAGAAATGACACTACTACTTAGTCCAGGCGCCTGGTAAGTCTACCTGGAATTTTGGGTACACAGCGATTTTTTTGGCCTACTTTATGTTTTTTGGGTCGCTGAATCCGAATCTGAAGTTTCCGCAGGCGTATCTGGTGAGCATTTTCCGCTATTTTGAAAAAATGGCCTAAAAAGGCCTTTTTTTGCGGTTTTTTTGATATAGCGGCTACGGATGAGCAAAAGTCCCGGATTTAGCTAATGTTTTGAATAGCTGACATAATTTGGAAGAAAATGGTATATACATATGTTAGGTTTGCTTAAAAATTGAGGAAGATACAGCATCGTGAACATCGCGCCTATTCACGTTTTCGCGGCGCACCCGTCAACGCGCGATCCGGCTCGCCGCGGTCAGCCAAGTTCCGAAGCGTTCTAAAGTTCCGAAATCCGAGGTTCCTCAATTTTTGAGCAAACCTAGCATATTTATATACCATTTTCTTCCAAATTTTGTCAGCTATTCAAAACATTAGCTAAATCCGGGACTTTTCCTCATCCGTAGCCGCTATATCAAAAAAACCGCAAAAAAAGGCCTTTTTAGGCCATTTTTTCAAAATAGCGGAAAATGCTCACCAGATACGCCTGCGGAAACTTCAGATTCGGATTCAGCGACCCAAAAAACATAAAGTAAGCCAAAAAAATCGCTGTGTACCCAAAATTCCAGGTAGCCTCATTTTTAGCTACCAGGCGCCTGGACTATACTATGGTCTTCGAAACGAGGGAATCTGAACAAAAACCAGTCGAAGTGAAAGTTCAGCCCTTCGCCTTTCTAACCAAGATCATTCCGGGGCAGAGACAAGAGACCCTCCACAAGTATCTTGGCCATCGTGGAAGCTTTTACTTTCGGGACTTCAGCATTCTACTGTTGACTTACATGGTCGATGTTCAACAACGTGTTAGCAGTTCCGTTGTGCAAACAAGCCGGAAATGGCCAACGTTTGAGAAACTTGTTTGGCTCATGACGTCATCAGAAGCTCATCATCGACCATGTAGGTAAGTCAACAGCCGAAACTAGGGTGATGACTGTTGCTCCCTAGTAATTGTCCATAAGGAATTGTTGAAACCCCGAAAGTAAAATCTTCCACTTGTCGCCAAGAGGACAGTGGAGGGTCTCTAGTCTCTGTTCCGGGGAAACATCTGGTTTCCGAGATACGACCGCTCAAAGTTGGTCAAAGTCAGTTTTACGCAATCGGAAACCACTCACAGGATTGCACGCCTATCAATTAATCGTAAAAAAGGGCTCTTTTATGATCCATTTATTACAAGGAATCGTCGGACATCTGAATAAGCCAGATTTTCAGCTTAGGCTCCCGGGTTGCGACGTTGCCATTATTTAAAGTGAAACTCTTTGAAAATTCATGACTCCGCTGCATATTACCCGAATTCGATAAACTTTTTAATAAAATTTTACTCTTAAATAGAGCTTTCCATAGGTGTGTAGATCAATGGGTCTTACATAAGTACTGGGCGATACTTACGTGGTTTTAACGGTTCTTAGCAGGAATTTTCTATTGAACTGTCAAAACCGCGTAAAGGCCGCCCAGGACTTAGTCGACCCATTGATCTAAACACCATTGAAAAGCTTTATTTAAGAGTAAAAAGTTAAGAAAAGTTCATCGAATTCGGGTAAAATGCAGTAGAGTTATGCATTTTCAAAGATTTTCACTTTAAATAATGGCAACGTCGCGACCCTCACTATAATTCGAATCTCACTAAATCAAGAACCTTTAAATCCGAATAAAAAATCCTCAGCCCCTTCAATTTCGAAAAACTACTACAATTTCACTGTGCTACGTTGCCAAAATACTGACATCGAAACTGCACTCGAATGCGATATATTCTCTCTAAAAAACCACGCCTTTATTACGTTGAATTTCTTTGTTAAAATTGGTGAGTGAGTGCTTAAGTCTCCTGACAACAGAATTGCGATCTCAAAATTGGAGAAAAATGACGAGTAGCTGAAAAAATTGAACCAATTGATGCGATACATCGCATGCCGTTCTGACACAAAATATGACGTCCATCGAATCACCTTAAGACCTTGTTATTTAAAACTTTGCTCATGCTGAACCATGCCAGAGATTTTCGGAGCGTTAGTGGCACACATTTCTTCTTCGCCCGTAACTTCAATCGGCGAAAAACGCAATTTGCAATGAATACGTCTCATCACAGCTGCGAGCGCGACGATGTTGCTTAGGGACAAGGGATTGTAAAAAAAATTGAGAGGCAACCTGTGCTAGTCACGTAGAATCACGCAGAAAATGTGTCCGTGGACACATTTTTAGGGATATAATGGCACGCAAAGCATTGAACTGGAGGATGGTCGGAAAATTCAGGACTGTGAAGAGTATAAATATCTAGGAGTTCGGTTAACTAAGGACGGAAAGGATCGGGCCATTAAAGAGCGGAATCTGCAAGGCAGGAAAGCTATCGCGATGCTAAATGGGGTTCTCTGGGACCAGAGTATCTCCAAGGAGACCAAAAGAAAAATTTACAACGTCATCGTGAAGAGTATCGTAATTTACGGGAGTGAGGTCTGGCAACTCAAGAAAATAACTGAAGACATGCTCAGGGCAACTGAGATGGACTTTTTGCGAAGGTCTGCTGGGATATCGAGAAGAGAGCGTATCCGCAATGAAAAGGTACGCGAGATAATGGGTGTGGAGAAGGACATCGTGGACGATATCAGGTCCAAGCAGTTGGTCTGGTATGGACATGTGCGAAGGATGGCAGATGATCGGTTGCCCAAGCAGGTCTTCGATTGGGTTCCTCCCGGAAGGCGACGGCGTGGACGCCCTGTGAAAGGTTGGCAATAAGGGGTGGAGGAGGAGATCAGAAGGTGCCAATTGCCTGATGATCTCTGGGAGGATAGGGGGCAATGGCGATTGGGCGTCGCAGAGCGCGAGGCCAGGCCCGCCACATCCCATCTCGGGCCCTGGTACCAGTTTTAAGGTCCGGGCCCCAAGCACGGAGGGGGGGGGGTCCGAGGGGCATCCCCCGAGAAATTTTAAAATTTATACGACTAATCAAAC